GTGCCATCTATCTGTAGCCCTGGAACACTAACGGTCTGCGTAAATTTCACGCATCATTTTCACCAGAGGCCCGAAATAATTCCGACGACAATGCCATTTCTCGCATTGATTTTGCGTAGATTTGATCTTGCAAATACAGCAGAATCATCAGTCTATAGTTATATGCGGGCCAGAAGGATTCTAGGGATATCTGATGAATGGCGCCACTATGATGTGTTCTTTCAACTCAACTCGAGCCATGGAAAGCGTTTGACATTAAATGGTAAACGGTTCCTCATGAGCATGCGTGAGTCGAAGAGGATAGCGACTGATCAAGAGTCAGACACACTTGCGTACGATGAACGCTTTCGGTCCCTCCTCGCGGTTCGTGTTGCAAACACGGACCATAAATCATGTCACCTCGATCGAGTGGTTGGAAACACTCTAATAGCTAAGCACACCAATGTTTTCGGTGTTAGGCCAACATACTGTTTACAAACAAGCCCGAATGTTCCCACACCAAGTGTGCCCTGGTGTGTCTGCACTGTGCCCACCCCACTAGGGCACACCTGGTGTGTCCTGCTGGTGTGGGCCTGCACCAGGGCACACACCGGGGCACAGATCCTATTTGCGTGAAACCGAAGTGTCTGCGCATGCGCAGTACCGACAGCAGCGCCACCGCAGGGGCGTGACTTCAGAGAGTTGAGTTGGTGTATACTCGCGGTGAGAAGCCCGCTAGGGGCGCTTCTGTTTTCCTCACTATGGGTAGTCCACGCCCACGCGGTTATGTTTCAATTTTCATAGTGCATAGAAGCTTGGCATTGCACGTGTCTGCACCAGCAGAGGAATTTGAAGTGTCCTCACTCTGGGTTGCGAAAATATTCCACCAGGCTGTGATACCCAAACTTGTCGCCGCAAATACTGTTTTCTTATCGTAAGCTGCCGCTAGCGGTCGTAGCGCAGTCGATCGCAATCGGGCGCAAATGTGTGAACTCGTCTTTACTTGCTGAAGCCACTCGCCCCTGCTTCGGCGTCTTTCCACCTATAGGCCCCCTTTTGCGCAGAACAGAGTATCTGAGAAAATAATAATAGTAAGGGAGTCGGATCGGTGGAACGGGGAAACGTGGGCACAACCATTTTCTTCTGGATGATGCCGATACGTGTTTTCCTTCCCGTCTTCGCATTTAGAAGAGTGCTCGAGATCTATCTTGGACCACGGTAGCCTCCACATCCTATACCGAGTGACCGCATGCCGCATTTTTTTGAGAATAACTCTGCTCACACGCGCATTCAAGTCGTCGTGACTCACGCCCGTACACGCACGTATAAATCCCGTCCGAATGATCGGGGCATTTCAAGACGTTGTTGCTGGGCCAGAGCAACCATATAAGTCAGGAGTGCCGCGAATAGGGACCTCGTGCGTGGCAACGTTGAACCTAACGCGTGCGCGTTCACGTGCCTGCGCTGTCTGGACGCGCACCAGTTTGAGCATTTTTCCTTTCCGCATATGCGCGTGCTCTTTCCTTTTCTTTTTTTACCCGCGGTCCGACTTGAAAGGACGTTCGGAGGTGCAATCCCGCACTGATAGATTTTGGTTTTCGCGTATAAATAAACGCTTATCGCAGCCTCTAAGTGATGGAGCTGTAACCTCTTAAGATACACGAGCCGTTCGCGTGCAAAACTCGCCTAAACCGTTTCGTTAAGCCGTGCGAAATGTGCGAATAAAAGAACGTACCTTCGGGTATTTTATTTTTTCTGGTAACCAAACTTGAACTATCCAAAGAAGGGGTTGATGTATTGGGCTATATTTGAAGCCTTCGGCTACGAAGATGCACCGCGGTGTCTGAATTCACGTTTTATCTCCTAATCTTGCTGTACATTTATTTGCGAAAAAAAAAAATGCCACCTGGCAACATTTTATGCTCGTGTCTCGACTCAAACTACGCAAACATAAATGTTTCGGGAAAATGTATAAGATACCTTTTTTTTTCTTCTGCGCTGTATGCTGTTCTACTTGTTTGAAAGCGTGTCTAGTAGCCATGTGGCTTTCACCTACAAACTCGATTTTGCCTAAGAACTATTTCCACGAAATTTGTTGGGATACATTTCAAAACAGGCTTGAAAAATATGATGATTCTAATATCTGCTATTCGACCCGAAAATGCAGTGTTCCCCGCTACTATTATAAGCGCCACTATGAAAACAGACGCTTAGTTACATATCAGACAAACCATCCCAAACAATAAAAAAATGTCTTTCCCTTTTTTTTTTTTTTTTTTTTTTTTAGGGGGGGGGGTTTACAAAGCAAACGTACACATTTTAATGAATAAACTCGGAGTTGTTATGCCACTATTGAAAAACACGATTGTTTCTCTAAAGTCTAAAAAAGATAATATAATCACGCCCCTAATTTTTGCGAAATAGACCGCTTGCGCGAATAAGAACCGTACCCATAAAAGACTACGAAATTTTTCTTTTCTTTTCCTTTGCTTATAGGAGTCTATATGAATTTAGTTTCTATAAACGAAGTCGGACAAATCGTCAACACGCCTGGCTTCCCGATGAATGCGCACACCAAAAACGTACCCTTCGCCTTTCCATTTTCGCAGCCGAGCACCGAAAACAGGCCTGTGCTACTGAACCAGAGCCAACGTTACTCGCCGTCGAAACTTGGGCCGCTGGCGTCCACCGAGACCGAGCTAAATACGACAACAGCGCCACTCTTTATCATTTGTCTGTACTGTGGTCACCTTGAGCTTTTAGAAAGCATGTTTTTGCGTAAAAACAAACGGAAAAGACTCTTTTTGTATAAAATCCATTGGAGTTCAGTACAAAATGGTAGTCGCGTGATGTTGTTAAAATCTTTAGTTTGCAAGGTTTAGCGGCACAATTAATACTGTTTTTATAAAACCATGCCTCAACGGTGCTTTCAGGTAGCGCGTCCCGACCTGGGTGCATTTTAACTTGGGTGGTAAGTCGCGGCGCGTCCGCCGGGGAGACGGGGGTGGCACCCCTGTAGCCTCTTCCGCTGTATGTTTCGGCGCCGAAAATGCCGATTAAAGCCAAAAGAGAAGTAACGTCCAGTTCCTCGAGTGGCCGCTGCGGGAGAAATGGCGGCGTTGTATTCGCCATTAGCTCGGTTCTCGAGGACAGATTGGGGCCACTAATTCAGGGCAGTCTCTATGGAAGTTTCCCAACTGAGTGGTTGTAGTAACATTGACCAGAGCTCTTTGCTCTGCTCGGCGAGGAGCAGTGCAGACTGCAGGTACGGTCTAAACTTAGTCGCTGGATCCGGGGAAAGTAGCATGATTGCCTTCTCTGCCTGTTAGGCGTAAACGAACAGTTACTAACATACAGACGACCAAACCTCGCAAGCTGATTGGCTGATGGGTCTCAGTCGCCGCGGCAATCGCCATTTTCGGTCCATTCGAACCTTCGAAGCTTCGAAAGGGTCCTTCTGAACCAGTTGCGCTATGATCGCCGTGGAGCACCATCGTGCTGAAAGCGTTCCTCGCCAATATAAGCGTCTTTGGCACTGCGAATTTAATCGACTTATCAATCGCGCTTATCTCCACAGATCTCTTACAATGGTATTGTAGTTCTTGCGTACTTCGAGAGAGTAAAATTATTTCTTAATGCTGCCGAGCGCCGACTCCGTATGTACGGTGCGAAGACGTGCGCTTGCTTCGCCAGTGTGTCGATAACAAGATCAAATTTGGGGGTTTTACGTGCCAAACCTACGACGGGCATCTGGCACGCCCCAGCGGAGGACTGAGGATTAATTTCGACCACCTGGGGATCTTTTGACGTGCAACCGAAAGCTCGGTTACACGGCGCCTTCTCCGCAATAAGCCCCCGTCATATTGCGGGCACCTCGGTCGGGATTCGAACCCGCCACCTGGGGATCCGTAAGCCGGCGCTCTCGCCTCGCAGCCACCGAGGCGGCTGTCGATAACAAGATCTCGGTATTCAAGAAATGTCTCGATAAAGAAACCTGTCACCGGGAATTTGAATCGGCTTACCACGAATGGAGAAATCGAGAAGAAACTGCTGGTTCCATGAACCAATATGGCGACCATACGGGGTAGCTTGGCGCTACTCTTCCAGTGACTTTAATACGGCCTGCATTAGACTGATGGTGGCCAACTGCAGTTTTGATTAGTTTTGAAATTATTTTATTACTTGTAGCACCGAGGAGTTAATGAATAATTATATTACACTCCGAAGAAGTGTCACTCTCACAGAATCGTTACCTTCTCGCGGGATGCACAGACTACAGTTCTTGCAAGGATAAACGCTACCGTTGAATTAAACAACACCTCTTGTATCCATAATGCCCGAGTACCACCAAAGCCACAAACAGAAAAAGCAACCGACACCGACAAGCCTCAAACACGTGCAGCTTGCATGTGTTTGAGGCAAAGTACGAGTTGCCCAAGTACTCAGTATGATGTCTCGATTTGGATTAATTTTGCTTTCATCGACGGAGATAAGAGCGATGCCAGACTGTCAACTTTGACGGTGTTGGTTGAAGGATGCGATGACTCCAAGCTTCCATCGTGCTTTTGCCACACATCATCAAACTTATAGTTCGCAACTGATAAGAACTAGCCAAACTTACAACTCACGACGGCGAGGCAACGTCACGAAGAAGAGGACGCCACCGAAAGGTCTCGGCGTTAATTCCACTTCGGAAAAGCCAGGGAAACGATAACTTCAGTTTTCAGGGAATGCAATGTACAACCAAAATATAACCTATAAAGTATTGACTAATCGTATTTTTGTTCTGCCTCCGGTGCCATGTACAACGCTGGTTACGGTATGCGACAACTGTTTTGCTCTCTAAAGAGTTCCACGGCGCCGAACGCCGGGTGTTCCAGCCTTTGTCACCGTGGCTAAAGATGCCGAGTCAGTGGGCTACAACCGCAAGCGCGGCGGTGTCCGATATTCCGCAGAAGAAAGCAACTGCGCATGCTCAACACGTATCTCAGAATATCCAGTGGACAAAGACGGCAGCTCACCGGGCAGGTCCGGGTGCTTGGGCCCCGCTAGGATGCCGTCGATGGAGTGCTTGTGCAGCGCCTTGGGGTCGTCGTCGTCGTCGCGCGGTCCCCTCAGGAGCCTGCTGATGGAGGACACGGAAGGGGCGCTGGCCCTCTCGCAGATGCCCTCCTTGATGAGGCGGTCTCGGATCTCCCAGCTGAAGATACCCGGGTTCTCGCGCTTGTACTCCTCGATGCGCTTCTCCACCTCAGGGGTCGCCACCCGGGGCTTGCTGCCCCCGATGACGCCGGGCCGGATGCTGCCAGTCTCCTGCAGGGGGCGCCACATGTCGTCATGGGACACACCAAAAAGGGACAAGTGCGCACGAACAGCGAACGAACCGGAAAAGTTGGCGCCTGCACACTGAAAGCTCAAACTTTCACCGAATGTGCATTTACGTTGTGGTTTCTATCTGCTAAAATTTCGAGGCAAAATTTTCTTCCTGTAAAAAATGAGCTCAACAAAATTTGCTAAAGTCAATGCCGGACGTGTTCTCAGATGATCGAGTTAGTGACGTATGCAACTTGTGGCGCCATCCCCAATAGGCGGGGCTAACAGACAACAGAGTGGTCGTCTGCTCGCTCGAATGTAACGTGCCACAAGTTACATTCATGACTAACTCGGTCGTCCGCATATACGTCTGCCGTTGACTTTTACAAGTTTGTTGGCCATATTTGTTACAGGTAGAGAACGCCCTGAAATTTCGCGAGGTAAAATTCACCACCTCGACGCACATTCGTTGAAAGTTTGAACTCTATGTGCAGGCCCCGATTTTTTTCGGTTTGTTTTATAGCGCAGGAAACACTGCTGCCACCCTCGACAATAGAGTGACTCAAATTCTCTATAGGTTACTTAGTTCCACCTAATATATTCTACTTCACTCAGCGTCGTAGAAAAGAAGCCACAGTAGAAGACTTCTTTTGAGCGATAATTTCATTCTTGACAGTTGTAGTCTAATAAACATCGTCTTGTAGAATGTCGGTTAATGGGTGTATCGTTTCGACGGCACCACGTCATTGAATAATCGTCCTGTAAGAAAAAAACAGCTAGATTGAAGCAACAATGACACTATGCTTATCAAGGTAAGAGAGAGTGGATATACGCCAAAGAGGTGACAAAATCAATGTTCATTTTCCTTTTTTTTTTCTTTTCTTTTTTGCGAACGGCTGAGTCTGTTTTTAGTGATTCTATCCGTTACGGGTAAGGGGAGCCGCGAATGTTAGAAGCTGCTTTGACCCATGTCTTAAGACCTTTTTTGTTTACTCTCGTACCCAGCCATCTAATAGGCGTATCCGGTATGGGCGACAAAAAAAAAAAAATTATAAAACGTTTCAACCTGTAAATAGCAAAAAAAAAATAAATAAATAAAATTATAGAGCGGAGGGAAAACGAGAATGTGTGACGGTTACGCTTATATCCTAAATGTCTTTTATTGGCGTGGCGACGGCAAAACAATGTTTCCCCCCATACTGAAAGAGACGACAATTTAAGAAGGCGGCGCCCATATATGAAGAAGGTCTATACCCATCCGTTGTTTTCATTTTTTCGTGCCCACGCATGTGATTGATCCTATCCACAGAGTTTATATTAATTTGAAGTGGAATAGAGCGATTGTAAGCTGATAAGTTTAGAAACTGCTTCAACCACGCAACATCGCGGGCACGATGAGCGCCCTCTAAAGCTGACATCGCACCATTATACCTTCACTGTGACTGAGAGTCACGGCGACATACAGCAGAGTTCTACCTCTCACCTCCCGCACCGCACGTTAGAGTCGTCCCCTCTTTGTGTCCGGCGGCAAGTGAAAGCGCTGTAATTTACCAGGCCCAATAGCCTCCGACCGCAGGTAAAAAAATAAAATACAGTGTCCCGTCTGAACGACCGTGCAGCGCAGCTTTACCACATGACCTTTTTCTTCCAAAGTCACGCGTTAAGCCGATGAATGAATCGAGCCAGATGCATCGGCAGCATCGACGCTTTGTGCCCCCCGGGCCACGGATCCCGTGACGGCAGCACCTTGCACTTTCTAGCCCCAGCCTAAACCGCCTCCCCCCCTCCTCCCTTCTCCCGGGAATTTAAGCCCTAGGTCCCCGCCCCCCTTTCACCGGTGACGTCTCCATCGCGCGGGCGCACAACAAAGCATACCCTCCAATAAACCCCTACACTCCGTCTCACTCTGGAGTGGAGCGCGACGAACGCTATTCTCTGTTCAACCCTAATCTGTAAATGCGGTGCTTCGCGCCCGCAGGCCGAATCGACCGCCTCCTTTTCATCCCCTGACCCCCGTGGGCACGAGTGTGAGCGCGATCACGTGGCGAAAGATGGATGTATGATTGGTCCAACGAACAAGCAGCTTCCACCGCACTGTCAGCTTTGGGGTGAGCGGACTGCGAGATCCACCGCGGATCGCGACACGTGATCTTGCAATCTGGCGGAACGATTCGCGGGTCCCCAGACCACGTGACGCGTCCCCGGCTCTTTATTGGCCGGAATAACCCGCAGCTCCCGCTGCGGTCCGGTTGGTGTCCGGGTTTCCTGCGGTCGCGGTCCCCAACCGCCCGGAAGCGCAGCCCCCTGGTGGCGGTCTTTTTTCCCCTACGAACTTCATTGTGAGTCGTCCGCGTTGTGCCATTGAAGACGTGTTCGGAGCTTATCCGATTCGTCGTCACCGCGTGTTGATCGCCGCAAATGCCCGTTTCCTCTTTTCCTCTATAGTGTCCCGGCTCTGGGATAAATCGGCTTAGGCCGATGCCGCGATCGACGGCTGACTTCTTCCGGCCGACCGCGTGAGGCGTGCGTGCGTTCTCGGCGGAGCGGATTAGTGGCGTGTTAATCCTGGCTGCGTATTTGGCTTTCCCCTCTTCCCGCGGTGGGGTTGCGGTCGAATCATCTGCATGACAACGGCCTTTCTGGCTGGTTTCTCCCGTATGCGTGCCCGAGGAGGTGGCAAGGCGAGTTGCGGTCCGGATTGAGACCGGCGAATTCGCCTGGCGAACGGGCCATTAAATTCACTCAACGCTGTGCAACGTCTTTTACAAAGACAGGCGCCCAGCACGAAGACGAAGTAACTGTCGCGATCCGGGGTGGATCTCGCAGTCCGCTCAACCCAAAGCTGAAAGTGCGGTGGAAGCTGCTTGTTCGTTGGACCAATCAGTTTATATTGAACTTCCAGGTCAATATAGAGTATTCTGACTTCGTACTATGTCTCGCATAAGTTGCCTAAGTTGATACGTACAACTTATTACGTTTTGGCGGAGAACACCTCTTTCGTTCAGCTACTGTACGCCGTCATCTTCCTAAAACCCGCATCGCCACGCTCTCCGCGAAGAATGTCTCTACTTGTGAAGAGCACAAGGCCTACGCCTTGACCTTTCATCAAAACTTTGTGCAACCCTAAAGCCGCGGTCCCTTGCGCGAACACATCGTATAGGAGGCAGTGTACACTGTCTGAAGCATGCTTCTTCCTTGAACGACAGTCCTTTAAGATTAGTCACGCAAAAACTGTCTGAAGACATGTTAGAAGCATGTGTGAAGCAAACATTCTTGGAATATGCTTGAGGCATGTCTATATAATTTTGCCATCATGTCTGCACCAAACACCGCGTCTCTTTTTATGATGTATACTGTTGTTCAGCACATAATATATGCGATATATACTGTCGATTACGAGCGCTCACGAGCAGACGTAAGAACACAGAAGCAAACGTTATCTGTGTCCATTTACGTCTGCTTGTTTCTGTTCGGCGTCCCCAGTGACGTCGTCGTCATAAAGAATGCTACAAACAACCGGCGCACCGTCTACTTAGGCTGCCAGACGGCGTCTGCTTACCTTTCGCTAACCCAGGTTTTGGAATTTTACAATCACTGCTGCTGCATTCAGGTGGAGTTTGAGCTGTCGTCAAATCGAACACACGGGATTAATGTTATTCACATGACATGTGCTTCACGTAAACAGATCTCCGCGATCGCAGGTAAACGGTTCGGCCGTCAGGGCAACGCGTGTGGTGTGTAAAGCAAACGATGTCTTCCGCATTTTCAGACATCATGCGCCACAAAAATTACATATAGTCTTCTAACAGGAAAGGTTTGTTCGGGAACGACTTAAACAAATATTATAATATCGCATTATCTACAATGCTGCTTGTTCTTTGAAGACATATTGGCCTTATTGGCGCTGTTTGAACAGATGCGTGTTGGCGTTTTTGTTACAGTAACTCGATGATTTCTTAAGATACTGTAAAAGTCAATGTCAAGTCAATGGGGACGTACGCGTGACTCCTCATCTTACCTGACGGTACACACACACGAAAAAAAAATATTCAAAAACTACGACAGAACGCGGTTCACGCAACCGCTTTTTTTTTTTTTTTTTTCAACGCCGGTCCTCCGAAGAGATGCTAGAGCGTGCAGAAACGTGCCGGCTCGAACCACGGAAAGCGGGTGCCATTCGCATGCAGAAGCACGTTTCCGTCAAAAAGGACGTTTCCGTTTTGGTTTTTTCATGCGCATCTTCCGCTTTCGGAAGGAATTTCACGACTCTGGCTCCTTTTCTTTCGGGCCGATTCTCTTGCCGGCTCCATGGGTGGCACAGCGGCGCCCATGGCAAAACCCTGGTAAACGCGTTTAAACTCCAACCATTTAAAAAAAAAAAAAAAAAAAAAGATAACAGTGCGAGTTTTTGTTTTGTTTGACAAGGACCAAACACGCTCGACACTCCGAAAGTACTTTGTGTCACCCCCCCCCCCCCCCCTCCCACACACACACACACTTTTTTCCCACCCAACAACAACAACAGCAGCAACAACAAAAACATTGTGGTTTTTCTTATTACCGCAAACAGATTGCTTTGTTAACTCCGATAACAAACCCGATAAGCTACCGACGCCCTTGTGCATGCGAAGTATCGTAATCGGGCATAGTTATCCGAGCTGTCGGAAAGATCTACTAAAATTCCCATATTGACGCGGAGACTATGTTGGACATAAAACGGTTTATCGGAACTCCCTGTTCTTTGGGTTTCTTCTACAAACTTAGTAAATCGTTCCGATGACTCCAATAACGATTCCCGATAACGATACTCCGCCGCCGGCTTCGCTTAGGCATAGTTTCGTTATCGGATATCATTATGTGGGTCATCGGAGGTATCGGGACGGTCGACTAAAGGCTCGTTCACACAGACCCGTTTTCTTACGTTACGTTACGGAAAGTCACCGGGAAATCTGTGCTTCGTATTAAGCGTGACTACCAATTCACGGAGATAGCCTGGCACA